GTCAGTGTGAAAAGGCCGATATGTCTTCAGCTGCTGAAAAAGATTCGTCGCTTTTCGAACCTGGTGTTATGAAAAATTTGTTAGATTAACTTTTTTGTGTGAACAATCTCGACATTCTTCGTCGTTTCAACATGCGCCTTTAAATTTAAAATCCTTATTGCGTATTTGGCCACGGAGATATAACTCTAGGCCATAGGCTCCACTGCCACATGTCAAACGTTCAGTCTCACAGCCACATGGACCTGCACGAAAAACTTGGGCATGGGCTTTTCAGTGCGTCTGTACATTAACACGTTTCGGCATTTTTTAAATCAAATATTCTTTCATTTAACTTGAATTTCTTTGAACAATAAAATATTTATTTTATCATCTACTCGCGTTACCATTGTGCGTTATCTGTACACACATGACTTCCGGAACCTGAAGTTACCTTAGTAGGCCTTGCCGTTAATTGAACTAAATATTGCTGACACGCGTGATAAGTTCAGGACAGAAAGTATATAACACGGAAAAGTAAGAAAAGAAGATATCGATTGGGGACTGACGGGGAAAGCCCGGACAAAGGGACGTATTTCTGGAAAGCTGACCGGACAGAGAGACATGGAAAGCTAGGCAAATGGCCATGATAGAGAATGTCAGGGGTGACTATCTTAGATTTTTCACGTTTTCTTAAGGACCACTGAGTGGTAGAAATCAAGACTGCTGTGTAAGAGAATTCAGAAAGAACGAACGATATATATATATATAAAGTGAGAGGGAAGGAGGGAGAGTGAGAACTGCTAGAGAAGGGCATTCAGCTGACAAGGAGAGTTAGAAGACAAGACCTTGACAAAATTAATGGAGTATGAATAAGGTTGAAAGTCAAAATAAGATTGAAGGACAATAAGATTGAAAGAAAGTAAGATTGAAAGTGACAGTAAGATTGAATGACAGAGTAAGATTGTAAGTCAAAATATGATTGAAAGACAGTAAGTTGAAAGACAGAGTTAGACTGAAAGTCACAATAAGATGGAACGACAGTAAGATAGAAAGACAGTAAAATTGAGAGACAAGAGTTTGTAATTGCACAGGTACTGGAAGTCAAGTCCCAAGAAGTGCAACCTGTTGAAATAAAGGGAATGGCATTTTATTCATTGCATCCTGATGACAGTAACAGATCATCATGTCCATAAGTTTTTGTTATACAAACACACAAAGAAATTGTTCTAACAGACAGTGCCGGTAGCTCAGATCAATGGTTACATTGTTAACAAAGAATGCACTGAAGGGAGGCCAGATTCAAAACGTTTGCCTTGTTAGCACCATGAACAGTTAACAAAGGAAATAGTCTGACAAAATTCACGCCAGATAAAACAGACCACAAAGTTTAAAATAATATTTTAAAAAAGAAAACATTTTTGACAAATGGAATTTTTTACTTTGACACATTTCTAGAAAAAAATTTATAATTTATAAAATGTTCTTTGTCCTACTAATAGTGGAGAGCAATCATGGTGAAATGCCAAAATCCATATTCCACACTCACTGACATAGACCTGGCAATGAGTCTGTTAAAAGTCATAACGTGATCATAAGGGGAAAGACTGCAATCAGGTTAGTGAACAAAGAAATAGTAAAACCAAGTATGGTCAAACCTGAAAAAAGGGGAACGCAACAAAACAACAAACGTATCGGCACAATTATTCTTTTGCTGCCCTCCTGGATACTACTACTCGGCTGAGTGCCATTTAAAAAATTTATTCTGGTTTTTTTCTGTTGTTTGTTCGCTGACAAAGGCTTCCTGCCGACACGTTCGTTGTCTTGTTGCGATCCTTTTTTTTTTTTCAGGTTTGACCTTACTTGGTTTTAATTATTTCCTAAAATGTCATAACTTTATGAAGATCTGGTAAAAAAACGACTATGAGTAACATTAAAATAATTAAATACAGGTATAAGGCAGTGTACATTTGATTGATTTATCAAGACAACAATTATACCTTGCAACAATCTTGAACATAAAAATAATAATCTGCGGTAATATATTGAAACATTTCCCATATTAATTGAACATAGTGATGAAATTTAATCGGGGAGAGAATACAAGAAAAAGTAAGCATGAAAATTAATTAATCTTGCACATATGAAAAGATCACAGTTCAAAAGGCAAACAATTGAGTGATGCACATCACCAGATGTAAAGAGTTAAACATGCCAGATTTAGGCTGTTAGGTTGTGAGTCTCATGCACATCACCAGATGTAAAGAGTTAAACATGCCAGATTTAGACTGTTAGGTTGTGAGTCTCATGCACATCACCAGATGTAAAGAGTTAAACATGCCAGATTTAGACTGTTAGGTTGTGAGTCTCTGCAAGGAATTAATTAATCTTGCACATATGAAAAGATGACAGTTCAAAAGGCAAACAATTGAGTGATGCACATCACCAGATGTAAAGAGTTAAACATGCCAGATTTAGACTGTTAGGTTGTGAGTCTCATGCAAGGAATTAATTAATCTTGCACATATGAAAAGATGACAGTTCAAAAGGCAAACAATTGAGTGATGCACATCACCAGATGTAAAGAGTTAAACATGCCAGATTTAGGCTGTTAGGTTGTGAGTCTCATGCAAGGAATTAATTAATCTTGCACATATGAAAAGATGACAGTTCAAAAGGCAAACAATTGAGTGATGCACATCACCAGATGTAAAGAGTTAAACATGCCAGATTTAGACTGTTAGGTTGTGAGTCTCATGCACATCACCAGATGTAAAGAGTTAAACATGCCAGATTTAGACTGTTAGGTTGTGAGTCTCTGCAAGGAATTAATTAATCTTGCACATATGAAAAGATGACAGTTCAAAAGGCAAACAATTGAGTGATGCACATCACCAGATGTAAAGAGTTAAACATGCCAGATTTAGACTGTTAGGTTGTGAGTCTCATGCAAGGAATTAATTAATCTTGCACATATGAAAAGATGACAGTTCAAAAGGCAAACAATTGAGTGATGCACATCACCAGATGTAAAGAGTTAAACATGCCAGATTTAGGCTGTTAGGTTGTGAGTCTCATGCACATCACCAGATGTAAAGAGTTAAACATGCCAGATTTAGACTGTTAGGTTGTGAGTCTCATGCACATCACCAGATGTAAAGAGTTAAACATGCCAGATTTAGGCTGTTAGGTTGTGAGTCTCATGCACATCACCAGATGTAAAGAGTTAAACATGCCAGATTTAGGCTGTTAGGTTGTGAGTCTCTTTCAAGGAATTAATTAATCTTGCACATATGAAAAGATGACAGTTCAAAAGGCAAACAATTGAGTGATGCACATCATCAGATGTAAAGAGTTAAACATGCCAGATTTAGACTGTTAGGTTGTGAGTCTCATGCACATCACCAGATGTAAAGAGTTAAACATGCCAGATTTAGGCTGTTAGGTTGTGAGTCTCTTGCAAGGAATTAATTAATCTTGCACATATGAAAAGATGACAGTTCAAAAGGCAAACAATTGAGTGATGCACATCACCAGATGTAAAGAGTTAAACATGCCAGATTTAGGCTGTTAGGTTGTGAGTCTCATGCACATCATCAGATGTAAAGAGTTAACCATGCCAGATTTAGGCTGTTAGGTTGTGAGTCTCATGCACATCATCAGATGTAAAGAGTTAACCATGCCAGATTTAGGCTGTTAGGTTGTGAGTCTCATGCACATCACCAGATGTAAAGAGTTAACCATGCCAGATTTAGGCTGTTAGGTTGTGAGTCTCATGCACATCATCAGATGTAAAGAGTTAAACATGCCAGATTTAGACTGTTAGGTTGTGAGTCTCATGCACATCACCAGATGTAAAGAGTTAAACATGCCAGATTTAGACTGTTAGGTTGTGAGTCTCATGCACATCACCAGATGTAAAGAGTTAAACATGCCAGATTTAGACTGTTAGGTTGTGAGTCTCTTGCAAGGATTTTTTCTTTGGAGATAAAAATACACTACATCACCAATGCCATTACTTTTTAAAATAAAATTCTTGGCTATTTTGATTTACTTAAACATTTTGAAGTCTTTATTCAAACTCAACTAACCTTACTTTTATTTCTACTATAGTTCTTATAACATACGACTTTAGCCCTGAGAAATACAGTTAAAGTACAGGTGAGTGAACAACAACATTCTACACAAAACAACTCTCTTTTTATTCCATTTGTTTGAAATTTTAAAAAAAATACACACATATATAAAATTTAATTAGGTAAATAGATTGGAGGGCAACATTTATGTCATGATATGTCTTAATATGGTAATAAGGGGGAGAGACATCAATGAGGTTAAGAAGAAGGAAATATAAATAAGCCAAACAAAATATAGGTGTATACTTTTTTTTTCAGGTTTTCCCATACTTTGTTTCATTTATTTCTTTGTGTCTTCATAATACTTTAAACAACTCAATTGTTGAATATGAAATAGAAATTTGGATATAGCAATAATTGAAGCATTTTTATGATTTTGAAACTCGAATAAATAAAATGTTTAATGCCACTTTCGCCAGCTACACAATATACTTCATCAGAATTTTGTATGAATATAATGAATGACAAAGTTAAAAGTATCAGTTCTGATCATTTCAAAAATGGCACATGAAAGAGAAGGGAAAGACAAGTTTTAACTGTATTTGCTATGATAAACTTTGTAAAACAATTTTTATACTAACACAAATAACTTTCAATGGAAGTTGTTAAAAGGTAAAAAAAAAAGACAACTTAAATAGTTGCACTAAATACATTAATATATCTGTATTAATTCATGTATTTTGTTTTGTGTTCTTTTACTTTGGCTTGTTCTTCTTCTGTTAGCAAGTAAGAGGCAATTTCCTCTTCCTCAAAATCTGTGTCCTTCAACTCAGGTGAATCGAGGTCAATGTGTGGTGGAATAGCCACATCAACAAATGGAATTTCATTTTTGGGTTTCTTTAAAATTGATGGCAAAAGTGCCTCTTTAGAACACCGTTTCCTTTTTTTAGATGTCATCAAGCTTGAAGAAGCACCCACAGAGCTTTCAGTGCACGAATTCTCAGCGTTATCACTAGAGGATGACATGTAATCTCTTTTAAATGCTAGGTGGAAAAGGCTATTTTGGTACTTGAGTATGTCATCGATGTAACGATACAGTGTCTTCATTGTAATGATACTACCAGACACCCATGGTAGGGTCCTGGCTAATTTTAGAAAAAGGTTGTTACATTCTTTATGAAGATTGCTTGACACAGCAGGAAATTTATACATTTCTCTGAACTTGTTCAGTGTGACTTTACCTTTGCCCTGACCTACACTAAGATAGGCATAGTATAAAGCAATAACAATGAGCCCTTCTCTTGCTCTGCCCTGTGTTAGCCAAGCCTGTCGACACAAAAACAAAATATCTTTGACTTTATCAACCATTTTGCTATCAAAGCCGTGGCCCTCGAGATAGTGGCTCACCTGACTGCTTGTGTTCATGTGTGGGAGAGTAATGTCTAAGTACTTCAGAACTTTCTTATTGGCTTTTGTAAAAGCAGAAAACTTATCAAGGTGAGGTTTGAAGTGAGTTAGACAAATAGGTATGTCATGGAGACGACAAACAATAAACAGACAAGCCGCGGCAATGTTTTCCTTAGTAACAATCTGTGCATAGAATACCTCCTTCTTATAAAACACCTTCTCAAACATTTCCAAGGCTTCTGCCTTTATCACTTCTGAAAAACATAATTTATCATGAAGTATTGATATTTTATTGTGTCCAGCGAGAAGGCCTTTCAGCTTTTGAGCTTTGTTAGCGTATGTAGGTAAAGTGTTCATGTATGAACGTGACACACCAAAGAATTCTTCGCCAACCAAATCAGATTCAGCTAATATTGATCCACAGCCTCTACAAACTTTTCGTTCATCCATTCCTATGCAGTCCCTAATCAAATCCTTACAACCACAGGATATGCAGACATCAGTCCCATGAGAAATTTCAATGTTTAAATCTCTATCAGTTTCTGCATTACAACAAAGGGGTAATTTCTTTTCTTGGTTGGGGTCGTTATCCTCCAAGGCTTGACACTCTGGGCATGTTTGAAGACCTTCTAAAACCAATGAGGTGGAGAGAGTTTCCCCACATGATTCACAAACTAGCTCATCACTCTTATTGGGACTTGTTTCATTGTCATCAGGCGTCGAAATCTCCTTTAAAAAAAATTATTAAAAATAAAATATGGTAATATAAACAAACTAATTTAATTTTATTCTTTTAAATAAATAAACTTAGTCAAAATTGAAAGGTCAGTATAAAAATGTCATCTTCCCCATAAATAAGTAATTACTCAAATACAGCATAAATTTATTATATTTAAAAAAAATTAAAAATCCGTGTTACGTACGAGTAATAAAATCAAATTTTGACAAATAACTAACTAACCTAAAATAAAAATATTTTATTACATGTTGTATACAAACCTCTGATCTGGGCCCAGAAGCAACTGAGGCACACTCAATGCAAATCCTTTGAGATCCCTCTCCATCTACTTCAACCTCTATAACAGCCTCCACACCGCAAGACAGACAAATATCAGGCATGCCTAGACTAAAAGTATTTTAGAATACAATTATTTTTAAACAAACTAAAGCTAAACACTGAAACAGGGTTCTTATAAAAAAAAAAGGACTCAACAATTATTTACCTGAAATATATTACACTAACTTTCATCTTTCAAAATTAAATTTGGTGCTTATTAAGATTTTTTTTAATGATATGTGACAAAGTGTGATACACTGATCACATCTTTTGAGTGTGTGCGATTGTGGCTTAAACCTAAACATTTTAAAGTTTTTTCCAAATGTAAAAATGAAACTGTCTTAAAGTGTGTTGCGAGTTAGCTAAAAAAGCAGTTTTAATAATATGACAATAGGAATTGGCTATAGCTTATTAAGTTAACTAACAATCCTAGACCTTTTTATTCTACAACTTGTAAATACAATGTCAAACTTGAGAATAGAAAATATATTCAATTTTAAGCATAAGTAATATAAGTGAGTGAATCCTTTAAAAAAATAATGCCAAAAATTAGCTTATTTCTTTTATGGTCTATGGTGGTCCCTCATCTATTGCAGGGGTTAGGGGCCATCCATAAATTACGTAACACATCTACAGGGGGGAGGGTAGTCCAGGTGTGCTACTTTTCTGAATTATCCTGGAATTCAAGATTCCTGAGGCTAAATATTTTTCAGCTCTGGATTTGTGAGTTTTTGCGGGATTCACCAGTTCAGTTTATTGAAATACGGATTCTGGGTTTAAAAAAAAAAATCAATGTGTTAGAATGCGCGAAAGCCTATCCAGCGAGAGGGGGTTCGCGATAAATAAAACAAGTACTGTGACCTCTCACTTTTGTTTGCAAGCCTCTCTCTTTCTTTGTAATCATTGTGCAAGAAATTATTTCTACAGTGTATAAATTTTATGAGTTTTTTTTATTTCAGGGTTGTAAATGAAGTTTCAGGTTGCAAGAAATTTTTAAAAAGGGATTTCAGGATTCACAGTTTTCAGTAAGTGGCATCACTGGAGTGACGATGTGTGATGAGGTGGGTAAGAAAAGCGAAAGATTAAAGTTAAGTATTGCAGTTAATAACCCTAAATTACAGACATTTTTAACATGATTTTTTTATACAACAATTATAAATATTTTATCTTTAAGCTAGGATCAATGAGAGAATCAGTACAGGTATGTGAGGTCCCAGAAATGGCCTCTGATCAAGTTACACCAAGGAGGAGAAATGGGTGCAGTGACTTTGACAGTCGAGAGAATTTATGCCAAAATGTGGAAACAGAAGTCATTGAATTACCAAGTGAAGTGGAATGGAAAAAAATGGTTCACAGGGGGGTGGGGTGATCTTAGTATTTGCTCTATGGCAAGGGTTCTTAACTTTTTTGCAGCGCTACAGGCCCACTGCATTTTAAACATCCCCCGAATCGTATTAATTATATTGTACCGGTAATAAAATTTAACATACGAAAATAAGTAAATAATTTAGTTATCGTAGTTTTATTTCTTTGATTTAAATTTTTATAAACAAAGAAAAAAATTACCAATACAAGCAAGGCGCAAACAAAATTCACCAGAAAAACAGTTAATTCTGCTAATCAAAATGCATAAAAACTGAATTTTTAAAAAAGCATTTACAACTAGCAATCAATGGCAGAAAATACAATTTTCTGGCCTTCCGTACCTGAGGGTTGGGGGTTACTTTTAGCCCGGGTTAAGAATCACTGTTCTCGTGAAATGTTTCTGACACAGGTGCAGTAATTTGGAGGTGAATTTCTTAAGGTTTTGTAAAGGGCGGTAGTGGACACATGGAATTGTTATTGGGGGAGGGGGTACAGAGATATGTCACATTTTATTTGAAGGGGTGTCTAACTTTTTATGACGATGTGGGGGGGGGGGGGGGGGAAAAATTTGCATGACATCATTTATGGATGGTCTCCTTAGTTCAAGGACACCCCACCCCTCCTGCAAGAGGCGGAAGTTCACGAAGTAGAGACATTATACTATTATACTTAATATATTATTTGAACTCAAAGTGGTGCAATGAACAGACATTAGCCGTTAGCCCAAAATTAGATATACCCTGTATGTACACAATTTAAAAATCCATGATAATGTGAGTGTGAGACCCCAAAAAGTTAACCACAATATATGGCGATATTGATATATATCATTATATTATATTTATATGGCGAGGGAATATATTTGAATTCATGACTTTGACCGACTCTTGAGAGTATTCTGGGTCTATTCTGCATTCACTTCTTCATCAACATAATTTTTTAACAATAAATCATAATAATAAATGATTTTAAATTGTCTATGCCCGCTAAGCCTATTTAGTCTAAACTTTTCTAGTCTAAAGTAGTTAAATTACATGATAACGATAGTAATAGACTGAATAATACTTATCCTAATTTTAATATAATAATAGTAATAGTTATAAATAATAATCAAATTCAGAATAGTAATAGTAATAAATAATAGAAAGTCTGATAGTTAAAAAGTTAAGATAGTTAGTTTAGTTTAGGTAAGTTAAGACGATGATTGAGATTGATTAAAATTAAGATATCATCACAAAAGAATAATTGATTGAATAATTTAAATGAACGATTGGTGAATTATATTTATATATCTTTTAATGCCTGATAATACTAACAGAGTTTATGATTTTTAAAAATTTAATTTGGCCTTAGACCTTTCATATTTACCTTTAAAAAAAATGAAAACAAGAAGTTATTCTGTTAGTGACATTTTTACCAAATGATAAATAAATTCACTGAAACGGTACAACCAATTACCGAGATAAATAATCTTTGCACGTAGATATTTAAATCATTAATACATATTTTGGCTATGGTTTGTCCTGCTTCCTCTTCAAACTTCCAATGTTTTATATTAATAATTCTGAGTGAAAAAATGCCGTCATTACATGCGTGACGTCTGAAGTCGATAAATATGTTGATTTTTTTTTCTTTAGGAGATTCGGTGTTTGATGTTGAATGTTATTGTTTGTGTTCCTCTGTCACACAGCGAGCTTCTTTCGTAATCGTCTGCACTATATGTTGAGATTTAAAAAAAAAATAACTGTTTTTTTCCCACACAAATGAACGACGGTATCTTCTCTGTCGACGGTTTTTTAAAAACAAAACAACGTCATCTCTATTCCGGGATCCGGCAACTGCCTATTCCTATCAGTGGATTATTTCCTGGTATCGACAAATGGTCGGAGAAGGCAAGGCACTCTCACTACAACATAGGGCAGCAGATTTCATTGCATATTAATTAATATTATAGAAAATGAGAAGTTATCTTTTTTTAAAACACTTGGACTCACCTAGTATTTTCTCATGAACGTCATGTTTTCATCCACAGGTTGAGGCTTTGCTCCGCCCCCTCCCCACGTCCCGACCAATCGCTATGAACTTACTTCTCCTCTTTTCTTTTTTGCCTGTATTTAATCTCTCATTTACTTATCGATTATTTTATGTCATAATTCTTTTGCTGCCCTCTCGGATACTACTTTTAAGCTAAGTGCTATTTTTTAATTGTTTTTTTTTAAAATGTTTTTTGTTCGCTGACGAAGGCTTCCTGCCTTCACGTTCGTTGTGTTCCTTTTTTTGGCTAGTTTTACTAATTTCCTTTTTTTTTGTGTGTGTGTGCTAATAACCTGATTGCAGTTACTCCCCCTTATAACCATTTTACATTTACAAGTAACTAACTAACTAACTTAAGAAAATCAGCGAACACCGAGCCTTGAGGCTCATATGGTCCTCCCCAACGCACCACCCCGCCAACCAAACCGGCCGTCAACCACTCCCCCAGTGGTCTTTATTCCGATCGGGCCGCGAAGCGGCACGCCAGGGACGCTCCGCCCCTAAGACCGCCACACTCGACCTCCACTCGATTGGCCGCCGAGTGTGGCAGCCCCAGAGAAGAAACACCTGGCCAGCCGGATTGCTGCTCACGCAGCAACAGGGCCGGACTTTCTAAGGGGTTGGGGTGGATATTTAACGTCTCTAAAGTCCCCCCTTACCACCCCGGGGGGACCGCGTAGTTGTTTAAGACCGACGCCCTCTACTAGGGTTTGTATGGTTATTCACAAGTAGTTATTATTTACAAGTAACTAAAAAACCAGACTAGGCATCTGAAACGTTTGGGAGGGTTGGTTGCACTGACCAAGACACATTTCATTTTATTAGTGTTAATCCTACAGGGCCATCCATAAATGACTTCACACAAATTTGGACGATTTTCGACACCCCACCCCACCCCAAAAAAAAAAAAAATCACCACAAAAATTTAGAAGCCCCCCCCCCTAATTATAACGTCACAAACATCTGCCCCCATCCTTTAGAATACGTATGTCCACTACTGTCATTTACAAACCCTTAGAAAATGTACCTCACAATTACTGCACCTGTGCCAGAAACATTTCTCTACAACAATGGTTCTTAATCAGACGCGAAAGCACCCCCTGAGGTGTGGAAGACCCAGAAAAGTGTATTTGGTGCCATTTTTAGTTGTTGCTGTCTTTAAAGCAAAAGGGTTTTAAAAAATTCATTTCGATTAACAGAAGTAACTGTTTACCTGGTTAATTTTGTTGGCGCATTATTGCAATTGATTTTTTTTACCATTGTCCTTGTTAATGGGAAATTAAAGAAAGAAATCTACAATAAAATAACTAAATTATTTTCATATTAAATATTTTATCACAATATAGGTTGCAGGTAATATTTAAAACCGAGTATGAGTAGGACTGCAGCGCTGCAAAGCGGCCAAGAATCCCTGCCCTAGAACATTACTAAGATTACCCCCACCCCCCCCAAACCACCACCATTTTTCGTTTCATCTCACTTCAAGTGGTAGTGGTAGCCTAAGTCTATGACTTCTCTCTCCACATTTGGACAAATTCTCACTACTGTCAGTACACCCCGATTCCCCTCCTCCGTGGCCACCTGTAACTTGATCAGAGGCCATTCTTCGGAATGAAATAATTAATGGACGCTACCTTAGGCACAATCAGTAGCAATGGTGAAAATCTGCAGTTATTCAGGCAATTTTGAAATACTGGTACCATTAGCAGTGAGCAGTTTTCTGTCACAGCACCTAAATTAAAACATTAAATTTTATCTGATGAGATGTATTGATTATTTAATATGAAAATTATAATAAGGACCAGCAGCTGTGCTCTAACCAACACATTTACTTTTCTGATCATTATGAAGCTGGTATTGATTCAATAATTGTAGGTGTTTAATCGTAAGTCAAGAAAAATTAAATATATGTCTTTTTTTTAGGCACTGACTGAAACTGAATTATTTTGTTAAGCTAGCCAAGGACAATCGATTAAATCAAAGAAAAGCATTTTTATAATCAAAATTTTATTCGTAAACCAATGTTAGTTTAACATAAATATTGAATAATATTTGACATCACAAGAAAAGTATCACTTTTCTAAGATAAAAATAAGAAAAAACGTATTAGCTTCAAAAATGGTGAAAAAAAAGGTCAACATTTTTTTTATAGTATTATAGTTTAGACCATATTTTGAAAATATAAGGGTAAATGTAAAAAAATTTAAGTTTCATTTTGATACTTAAATATATCAGAAGAAATTAAAAATAAATGTATAAGTATGAATAAAAAAATTCCTGATGGTTTGTAAGAATCTGTGAACTTTAAAAATTAGAAAATATATTTCCTAAAAATAACATCCATATCCCGGTTCCGTTTATTGTTGAAAATGAAAAATAAATTTGATAAATCCAAAAGTAGACTCTTATTCTTAAAATGGGCTGCGTACATAAAAAAATATTAATGCTTTCATAATCATGGGTTGCTCCTTAATAAACATTCTCTTACTCATTGTCATTTTCTCTTATTACTTTTTCAATAAACCTGTATTCAATTAATATTTAACAAATTTATTAAGCGGCATCATATATTTCGAACTTGACCTTCATTTAAAGGACTCCTCACTTGTCCATAAATTTATTTTCTATGAAAAGTAAGGGCATTTTATCCCCCTTTCGTTTGATTTTTGAAATGAACTTTATTATTATTATTATTAATAATAAAATTTGTTCTAAAGCTGAAGCAAGAAGAAAATGTATAAATTTGCTGGAATTTTTCATTAAATAAAAAATAACAATAATTTATATACATTCTGAATAGAAGAAATACTGTAAATAATTAAATTTTCATTAAGAGGTTTTGAGTGATCCTTATTAATTATTATAAAAAAGCACATTGTCCATTCAATCTTGCATGAATAGTGTCAGGGAATTCTCATCAAAATTTTTTGGCCATTGTAGAGCCACATCACTGCATATACACAGCACATGGTAACAGATTAACAAAACTGTTCAAAATCTGACTGTTCCGTTTCAGATTTTGCCCTGGTGGCCTTCGATTAGGATTTAGGTCACGATCAGGAAGCCAATTTGGCATTGGTGGCCTTCAATTAGGATTTAGGTCACGATCAGGAAGCCAATTTTGCATTGGTGGCCTCTGATTAGGGTTTAGGTCACGATCAGGAAGCCAGTTTTGCATTGGTGGCCTCCAATTACGATTTAGGCCATGATCAGGAAGCCAATTTTGCATTGGTGGCCTCCAATTACGATTTAGGGCATGATCAGGAAGCCAATTTTGCATTGGTGGCCTCCAATTACGATGTAGGGCATGATCAGGAAGCCAATTTTGCATTGGTGGCCTCCAATTAGGATTTATGTTATGATCAGGAAGCCAATTTTGCATTGGTTGCCTCCAATTAGGATTTTGGTCATGACCAGGAAGCCGATTTTGCATTGGTGGGCGCAGATTTGGATTCCGGTTCTCAACAGGAACCTGAGCCTGTAATTGCTGATGATTTAATTGTTGGTGCAGGTTTTGGTTAGGCTGGTTCATCATTTTAGCTTCGTCATGTTTTTCCGCTGCTGCCAGTTCATCTGGTACGCCTATGACCTTAATGTCGTTATAACCTACCAAAGAAAAGATTATAGTCTTTAGTTACAACAAAAGAAATTGGAATGACAGTACTCCTTTTTAAAAATGAGATGTTTTTAAAATTTCCTGGGATCCCACCAAGACTTATTGAATTTTATACACCTAAAAACAAACTAACATTCTATTAATTTTTATGCTATACAAATATGGCAGTGTGTGTGCCACAAACCATAGCCTAAGGTACCACCGTTGTGGAATTTGACACAGGGGTAAGGTTACCACAATACTGTGCTAACTGCTTCTCTCCCCACTGTTATACCAGGCTTAGATAGAGAATCACAATGTGTGCTTTTTGTACATGTTCAATAATTCATTTCTCTGGAACCCTAGTGAATTATGCTCTTAATTATTTTATATATCTTAGTGTATTTAAAAATTTACATCTTTAGAGGATATTGTAATATTAAGTAATTAAGAGTTTTCACATTCATCCCTAGGGGGTCCCAACCCATTCTATTTAGTATATCTCAAAGACCATTTCACTTATATAATTATATAAAATTTTATCTTAGATAGCTGAGACTTAACATGAACAGACACAGATAAGTCTTCAGGGCTCTTGTCAGGGATTTTGACTTTTATTTGAGTCTACCAGGACTGTCAACTTCCCACAGAGAATCTAGCAGAAGTCACTTTATCCTATGTTCGAGCGACTATTTCGTGCAAATGGGTAATCATTCAAAGTTTGAATTGTATCCTTAAAGTACGCCAATGTTCGATGGAGCCATTTGGGCTCTTTGTAAGTAGAAGTAGAAGAAAATTTATAAAGGTGTAT